TAATAGACATCTCATATTGTAGGGTATTGAGGTGTGTGATCACGGTTTCATCAGTCATCAGTCCACGTGTCCTGTGCCCGTAGAAGGGGCGGATATGTGATTTTGTATACTTTTGTTGTTGAAAGTGTCCATATACATTTTATGGTAATAAGTTTTGTGCTTGTCGTTTATGTAATTAATTACTGAACTATAAATTTATTATTTAATAATAGTTGTTTATTAAACAAGATGAATGAGACATTTATGGCGACGAGTACTTCGAGACGCGACTTCTTAGTAATTAATACTTCCCCGAGTGATATTTAATGCTATACTCACTAGATGTTTGTGTCACAAATTGAGTTTTAGAACGACAAGAAGTAATAATGACCAACTTTTGCCTGCCCCCCCTCCCCCCTCCTCCTGTTACTTGGGCAGTAATGATCGACTTGCACATATAAGAGTCTAGTATAAATAAATAGTAAAATGTCAAAAGCGCAAAACATATAACCATAAAAGAATATCATTTATATCTTTCATTTATATAAATAACATTAGCTCATTAGTTGATGGTTGACAATAAAAGCAAACGAATTAATCGGTGGTGTTCCACATTGAGTTGATAATGTTTTTATTTTTTAATTTTTTATTGGTTGTGATTTTTACTTTACAAATCTCAATTCGTGTAATCTCATTTATATTATGCTTAATTTGAATTAATTATTGCTTATATACATTTTCATGTCACTTGAGGTGTGTGCGTATAGGGTGGGATGTAAGAGAGTCAGGTTTAATATAAACATGTTAATGACAGGATTAAATTAAAAAATAATTAAATTATGAGTAAAAAAGAATATGTCGACGCTGGAAAGCAAACAACAACGTAGTAACCCGCAAAACTCAAATTGTTTTTCAGAGCAGAAAATGTAACAAATAAGTCCATACGTCCATGGTAACAAATAAGGTGTTCCTTAGTCAATTTATACGGGAATAAGATATATTTTTTGGAAAAATATAAAGATTTTTCACTTTAAATATCCATTTTAGTTTTGCAGGTTACTAAGTGTTTGCTTTCCAGCGTCGATGTGCAGATTTAATAATTAAATTGTGCTGAGATCATTGTGACATAGGTATATTTATTGTAATATGGAAGCAATAACTGCGATAGGTAAATGTGCACTTTAAACTTTTGGTATCAATTTTGATTTCCAACACCAAAATATAAGTTCAGTCATCACAGAACCTTGCGCATCGCACGCACGCACGCACGCACGCACGCACGCACGCACGCACGCACGCACGTACGTACGCACGCACGCTTGACTGAGAAGTGAGAGATTTTAAACCGTAATAACATGCGTCATAAGGTATATAAAATAACGGTCATATTTTAGGAGTACTCGAGAGTTGCTTTACAAGGTTTTTAAGACGCAATATCGCTCTTGATTCTCAGAATACTGTTTAAGAGTTAAATTAATAGTAGAAAAGTAATTGTAAATGTAATCGGTAGTCTTGAAATTAATATTTTTATAACATATTTTGTGCTACGCATAGGTGCCACAGCCGCCCGCATATGTGCGCTGATCGAATCGGGTCCGAGTGGCGACGAGTTTAAGGTAGCGAATCGCTCGCATCAAAGCTGTCGGTGATAGGACGATGATGAAAACGCGTGTTGTGCTAACGCGGAGGTATGAATGCGCGCGGGTGATGATAATTATTATTACTGTGTATTGAATGGAAGCTTGACAAAATTAATATTTAAACTGTGCCTGGGTGCCTAAGAGCTGGTCTGTAGTCCGAAATTATTCAATATTCACATAGCATTAATTGAAATTGATCTGATGTTAAAGCGAAAAATATGTTGTCTCGACTTTATCGCGAACTGCAAATCGAAGCGGAATCGTTTCCATACTGACTGGACTCGGAACTCGTTCAGAGCTCGCTTCCCCCTGTAATGTTAGTTAGTACCCGTAGATAACGCCTCCAGTCCAACTACCTACGGCTCTCATTCGGCGCTCGCCACTTGGATAAATTAAACACGGTCTTTCTGGATATATAAAACAATTCGGCATGTAGTGAATGACGTTGTTAAACTACCGTCGGGTGAAAAAGGTTCTCTCTCTCTCTCTCTCTCTCTCTCTACACCTGTCAGCGACTTATACGTTTGAGCAGTTAATATTTCCATATGATTGAAAAATGATGAACTAATTGATAACATAGGTAATCTATAGACTGCACTAAATTAGTATTTTTGATGTGACTTTACTATTTCTATGATAATAATATGACGTGTACGTCGACTACACATTTATTGTACTTATCTCTTTTTTATCTCTTTGATGAATATTTGTAATGTGACTTTTTAAGACATCAAGCGACCGAGCGACGGAAATGTTCAATTCTGTTAAAACAGAGATTCCCAAACATTATTTGTTTCCTAGACCTCATTCCATGTTTTTCGGTGTCGATTAGCCCCCCCTCCCCCTGCTTAGCGGATGTAAAATAATTATGCAAATAAATTGGTAATAATTGAATATATATTCAATATGAAAAAAATTTTTAGTTTGCGAAGCCTACACACAATTGTACTTTTTTTATCATCGTTAATCATTTAGTCAGGGGCGTAGCTACCGACATATTGTGTGTAACCCAAAATTTTTACCTTTTACTGGGGGCCCCAACTAATTTAGATACGGGCCCCTGCAAGGCACGCGACGTCACTGCTATTCATACTGTTTTCTGTTAAAAAGTACCCTACGAATAATTTATCTATACAGGTTAAGTCATTTATTGAGCGTAAAGTTAAAACCGGGCCTTTCTTATCTGAGGTCGATATCAGCGCTTCGGGTAACAGTGTCTTACAAGAACACGAGATGGGTATTCGAATGTCTTTTTAAAACGCATATATATTAAAACTTTTGCGATTGATCTTATGCGACTATTACTTATTTATAGGGTTGAAAGTAACGAATTTTTTATCCTAATAATTTTTTTTTGGTTGCGAGTATTTTCCTACAATCATATATTGACGACCTTAAACATGAAATGGTGTACACGCAAATTGTGAGATGCTTACGCTTGATGGCGTTCTCCAAATTTACGCTATAGTATTTTTTTTAATCTATAGTTTTATATTGTTTGACATTCCGAATTATATTTTTAGTTTTAGATAATAGTGTAAGAGAACTATTTACTTAAGAAAATTTTGTAGGCTTTTTAATGGAGCCTAAAATGTAAATAAAATGATATTTGAATGTGTTTCTGAAACTTTTATCCCCGTCCCCGTCCCCGACTCGCTTATAAATGTGGAGTTAAAATTAAGTGAACTTTACGATTTGCTGTCATTGTATGTGTAGCCGGTAAGGGGTCATCAAAAATAATCGAGATATATTTATTATGACTTTATGTATCGTGGAATATCACCCCATATAAAGGTAGTAAGAAGGCGGACCTTTATGGCGTGCTGAATTACTGGTATTATCTTTATCTGAGGCGATAATGTCACGCACTCATTTTGGAACGTGCAGTTTGGGAAAACTGCGTCCTAATTATGTTTATATGAATTGGGTTAGCGCGCGAGAACGCTTTGTGCAATGTAATATCCAGTGCAGCTGCACTGAAAAGACGCAGTTTTTCCTTAACCAGGGCCGTATATAGGTTTACCACTAACTAGATTAAGTTTTAACTTGGAAACTATGCAACGTGGCTAACATGTTAAGATATATTGAATTCAGTCTCGTTTAGCCGGTCCCATAGGGATCACCGGCCCTGGTACTCTATTAAAATAAGTCTAGTCTGAATATACTTACTAAAATACAAAAGTTGTGAGAAAGTAAAATAAAAACTCTTCATCAAATCAGAGTTTTATTCATAAATTAACAACTTATTGTTCTTATTTCCTTTTGGTGAATTTAATAATAATAATGCATTCACTGTATTATGACACTTATTGTGTCAGCTCCATATGACACTACACAGTGTCGAACTTCGTTCGTGAAGTCTGTACTGTGCCCATAATGAATACGTACCGGGAGTGTAAATATGTTCTAGTTTCAAAGTTGATCACGGATAGATAGGGAATGGAAGCCGGCCTTATGGTTCTGTAAGAAATATGGAACCCTTATCACGACACCATGTTCGTCTGTCCGTCAGTCCACGGTTTAGCTCAAAACTATGTTTGGCATGAGTAGTTTATTGTGCACTTTACGCTGCCAAAGAGGTAAAGAAAAATCGTCCCCGCTGGGACGATATTTTTTCGTCTTCCCTATAGTGTGAGGCATCGTTTTAGATATGTCTTGCAAAGATGTGGGGTGGGGGGAGTTTGTTTTCCGATTTACTATTATTTATATATATAATGAAGTTAGAACGAGTACTATCATACTTAAGTTGGGTTTACAAGTTTACAGTGGGTCGACCATTCTATTTAACTCTAGAACAAACAAACGTATTTTTTTTACCTTTTTTATGGATAATGGCACGGAACCCTTAGTACGCGAGTCCGACTCGCGCTTGGCAGTTTTTTTTTATTATAATTTATTGTAGAATCCGTGTATTGCTAAAATGATAAATTTTAGATTTTACTGGAATTCGGAAAAAAGTCTGCTTTGGCCTTACTACGAGTCATTACGAAATCTAGCTAGTCCTTACTGGATATGGATAAACAGCAACGTCAATATGTCTTCGGTTGTACCTTTTAGGTATGTATCGTGGGCAAGTTTGATGCATACTATATTGTGAAGGATTATTATACTATGTTAGGTGCGGTCCCATATGTAAGAAAAATTTATAAAGTAAAGCATTTTGTTCTAGTGAAGAATTTACTGTGCCGATTGTTTTCAGATATTACACACCGAAGAGATAGTCGATAGTAATCACACACATACAGACAAGTAGATCTTATGAAAAAAAATCAGCTGATAGCTCGTGAAATTGGCGAAATATTAGCGGCGCACTCGGTCCTGAGCGCGCGTAACATTTTTCCGCTATATTTATAGAAACCCCGCTGGGCGGGTTGTCTGTCCGCACACGGCGCGGCGCCCGCGCACCGAGCGGACTCCAGCGGTATGGAGCCCCCCACGTTCGAGAGCCGGCCCCTGACCACCGTGAGGGCCGCCCCCGGCACCGACGCCTGCCTCCATATCCCTGCACCGGCGGGCACCCCTCCCTTCCACTACCGATGGTATGTTCTATTTGCGTATCATATACCGGACAAACATTCGCGTGCTTTTCATCGAAATTTTTCATTAGCACTATATACATATAACGAAGCTGGTTCGCGACATCGGCCGTGCGATACTCGCCCTTGTGGCGTCGCCGTTGGGTTCATATCGTGTGTGCGTGTGTTGTTGTGGTCGTGTGCGGCGCGCGCGCCGGCTAGCGTTGTTTGTTTTTCACGTGTCGCAGTTTAAATACAGAACAAGGAAGCTCGACCAGTCCGCCGGACATATGACACGACGCCTATCACTAGAACCTCTCTACTTTTCATAATAATTTTTGTATGTAATTATTACAAACAAGTATACACGTGAACCATTAAAATTAATGTTAATCAAGTAACAATGATTAAAGTGTTTATAATATTTTTGAGTGAGTAGGTAGTAATATTTTTGATCAATTTAAAGCGAAAAAATGTAATGCCGTTACGTTATAGACAATAAGAGAATCGTGTTCTCATTACTATATGAAGTACGTAAGTACCTATATGTACAAAACTATGGAATATTCCTAAATCTAGGTTGTTTATAAAAAATCTCTAAAGATAAGTTTCTATAGCACAACGTAGACCATTTACGCAAATAGTTATACACTTAGGTAGGTTTTTAGTCAAAGTAGGTAATGTCATAATTTTACGTCCTCGCTTTCTTTTTAACTTCTATCCGAAAGCTAATTTTGAATACCAGATGAGTTTACCTTTGACTTACCAAAAATAAATATGAGGTTATCAAAAATGTTTTCTCATTGCCATGCGGGCGGGTGACGCGGAGCGCCATCTGCCAGTGTTTGTGCAAAACGCGTGGCGGCGACATCTATCGACGATCTAACTAATCTTTTATAAAACGCCCTCTGTCGGAAAACATCTAGTGTCTTATCAAAAATAGATTTTATAATTTTAATAAATGTACTTACGATTTTTATGTTTTTGTACAGTAACGTAAGTACCGCATTGAATCGTTACAATTAATGTCACTAATAAAACAGTGACCTATTCGAAAGTAGAGTATCAAAAGATCGATACATCAATTTTGAGAAATGATATCATCAAAGGCGAGAGCGTGACGAAACGGCCCTCCCGGGTAGTTAGTGCGTAAACAACGGCCGGCTGTGGGCCAAGTCGGCGTCGAGCGACTGTATCGCGCACTCCGCGCATCGCGCACTCCACGTATCGCGCACTCCGCGCAGTCCGCGCTCGGCTCCCGCGCCCTCCGACCGACCGACCGACATGCGCGCGCCCGATGGGCAGCAACTGCTGTAAAGGTGACGCGGCGCGCCCGCTACGCTCCACCTCGTCCATATACAGCAGGTACATCTGGCTGTTAATCGTCTGTCTCCAGGAATTGAGCGAGGTGCCCTGGGTCCTCAGGCCGTACGTGCTGTGACAGTGTTCATGAGTGCACCTAGAGTTAGTTATGTAATGGTGCTGTGATTATGTTTACGTGGGTACTTACATACGACTCGTTGAGAATGGGTACCGAGAAATTTTGTATTTGTTTCCTGGCGAGTTCCTTTTTTATCACTATAAACGACTACTACTAAATTATTATACATTCTTTGTTACGTTTGAGGTTCTTAAAGTTCGTGTAGGTAACATGATTCAAATAAAATAATTTGATTTTTGACACTAATTCACAAAAATGACTTAACTGCAGATCGGTTTCTAAATTTAGTTGCAGAGGTTTTAAGTTTGATTTACGACCAGTTGTATTCTGCCATTAGACAGTCGATAAGTCGACACCTTCCTCCTTAACCATCGTTAATTTTTGAAATACTTTTTAACAGCCTTCGATAACGTTCTTCTTAATATGCCTATTGCTGATACAATGGACAGTGGATGGCGCTTGTTTATTAGTTTCTAAGTTATGTGCGATTGTAATTAGGTTGTGCTGCATGGGTGATTTTTAATTTAATTACAGTTGTCAAGTTGTAGTTATAAAAAAAAATACTCTTTTAGTTGGGTTAATATTGTAAGTGGTGTTTCGTAAGGTTCGTTACTTGACCGTTTACTGATTTTGATCTTTCGCGAATGATATTGTTAAATGTTTCAGTTTTTCTAGCCTTTTATAGTACGTTACGAAGATCTTAGCAAAAATGTTCTGTGACGAGCACCGAGTCTGTTCCAGCCTAGGTATCTCTTGAAATTAGAAGCTCACTACACCATTAACTGTTCAAACGTGAATCCCGCCAAATATTGTTTTGGAAATTCCACTCGCAGACGGAATTGTGTGGTTTTGTTTATGTGATGTTGGTGGCTCTGATGATTTGGTACTTGTATTTGATGTGCATATCGATAATATTATCGATAGACCATATGGCATAGGCATTAGGTTCTATCAAATGTGTATCTCGTGATTTCGAGCACGCTAAGATTGAAATTTTTATATTGCTTATAATGTACGCAGCCACCTCGAATTTTCATAGGAGTTCTGGAATCCGACATGTTTAACTTAAATCTGCGCCATCTATCTACTTATTCGATTATCCGAACCTTTTCTTTCGTCTGATTATTTATATAACACAATCAATATCATCGATTGTCCTCAATTATTGTGTTCGTTTTCCACTAGCCACACCTCTGCTTAAGATTATAAAGCGCTTCTTATGTTCCACTTACTAATAATAAATGAAGGCGAATTTAATTCAATATGGCGTTCATGTGACAGATTTCATAAAAAATGAACGGAATCTGAAACAGATCTTTTTAAATAAAACTTTTATAAACACGAGCGGGATCGGCGGGCAACATAACACCTGATTAAGTAATATATAATTCAGAATAATCGTTGTTTATGCAACTGTCATACAAGAAGGGGTATTAAAACACGAGAGTCTGTTTATCTGAATGCGATAATAGGTTGACTCGAGAATACCAAAGTTATATACAGTTTTATACACTACTTTATCTCCAGTCATAGGAAAAATTGAAATTAAAATAGTAATTTTTGGAATCCCGAATACAAAAACACGATCGGCAAAAAAATGTATGAGAAGCGCGGGAAATTAAGGTCAAACTGCGCATGCGTGCGCCATTTTTTCATATTCAGCCTAAAACCATAGACTAGTTTAATGAATAAAAAAAGATAGCGATACTATAATGAGTTTCATGATACAATTGGCGGTATTATAATTAGTTTTATTTTTAATTTTATTTATATGCGTTTATAAAGTACGTATGTATAGAATCGTCTTTGAATTCGTAATTCGAATTTTTCCATTTGAGTGTAGGTAGATAAAATATATTATTTTACTAAACTTACTTTTAATCACTTCAAGATTGACAGGTATGTCGCAGTACAATTGTGCGTGCTTTAGCATTACAGAAGTATTGTATTCGCATCGATTTCATAACAACCACGACGAGATAGATATAGTCTTTGGTTTTTATTCCTTTTCAATAGAAATCATTTTCAAATTGGTTATTTATTATTCAGATGATTGTTTGTAAATAATACGAAAGCTTAAGACAAATCGTAGAGGAGAGATATTTTGACATTGATTTTTTCTATTTGTGTGTAGACAGACACAATAATGTTAAACGTACGTTTTTATCACATCACAGCTTTTAATATAAATATATATATAACTTCAAGCTTATTCAGGCTCTCCTACCGTAATCGTTATTAACTCGTAGGATGGGAGATATGACAGTAACCTTAAAGAACTAGATATTTTTCTAATTTGCTAACTTACTTAATTATCAGTACGTAATCAGTAGCGTTCAGTGGTTTGCCACACAAGTTGTCAATTACTGTATTTTATTTTTTAATAGCTGTAAAATCGCGTCTTCGCCTATTTGTTTCGAGGGTACTGTGTGCACACTGGCCTGCTATACTCGAGTCTTGATTAAAAATGTGCCAATAAGCATCCACCTTTATATCATCATAATTAGTTTATCAACGTCCCCACTGCTGGGGCATAAGCCCGCCCAATAGATAGAACCTATTGAGGAAAATCCACCGGTGTTTCTATGTATAACGCGCATGTCTTCATAGAATAGTCCAGTTGCTCTTCTTTTGCAAAAAAAAACAAACAAATGTTTTCTTTGAAAAAATGGTCCTTTTATGGAATAATAATTTTGCTTGGATCTAGATATTTGAGTACCTACTGTGGATTTTAGACTTCTTATTCTGGACTTTGTTATGAGGGTTTAAAACAGCCTACGCTAATTCTACGCTACGATTCTGCGCTTTTTGCGAGACACCAAATAAAAGTTTGCCAACGAATATTCTGCCATCTCTTTGATTTGGTTAGTCCACTCAGTATTTTTCTCGCCCAATTTATTATTAACTTATTCCTACCGTTAGTGGCTCGTTTCAAGTATTTTATATTGTTAGTTACTGATAATTATCAGCATCTTAGTACATTTTATGGCAAATATAATTTAACGCCCCTCGGTTGAGTATTAAAGTATCTCGCTAATAGTCACCCAAATATTATTTTATCGTCTGATGAATAATCTACATTAAAATACATTATTATTTAAAAAAACCGGGCAAGCGCTAATCGAACTCTTGCACGAACGGTCCCGTATTCAAAGTCAAAATAATCTTTATTCAAACAGACTTCTTAAAAGTACTTTTGAAAACATTTTTGCCCTTATGTTCAGGACGTGGACGTGTGACAGGGACGAGAAGAAAGAGCATGAAACTCACCAGCTCTACTAAAAAAAATGTAAAAAAGTAGAAAAAAAACTATGGTCTTATCACCCGCAACATTTTCCAAGGATCTATCTAATGCCATGCCATTTGGAGTAAATAAAAGCGCCTAAAATTTTCACACGTTTTATTTACTATGATTAAAATGACGCCAAATGACAGGCTTTCTAGTATTGTGAGCCTAGACGCGGACGGACGCAGCCGGGATATGGCGAAACTATAAAAAAATATCTTTTACTCTGACGCTAAACTTTGTTTATAATAGCACTGTATGACTCTAGTTGACTTTCGTCAGTCCGCACAGACTTCG